TCTCTCCCCAGAGACGGGGCCGGAGAGGACTTCCCGCTGCGACTTTCGGAAGCGGAAGGAGACAGTGGTGCACCAGCGAGCATTTATGGGAGAGAAGCCCTACATCTGCATCGAGTGCGGGCAAAGCTTCAACCGCAGCTCCGACCTGATCCGCCACCAGAGGATCCACACTGGGGAGAAGCCGTACGTGTGTGCTGACTGCGGCAAGAGCTTCAGCCGCCGCTCCCACCTCATCCAGCACCAGCGAGTCCACACAGGTGAGCGGCCGTACCAGTGCAAGGACTGTGGGAAGAGCTTCAGCCAGAGCACCCACCTGGTGCAGCACCAGCGCAACCACACTGGTGAGAGGCCTTATGTCTGTGCCAAGTGTGGGAGGAACTTCTACCAGAACTCAGGCCTGCTCCGCCACGCCAACTTTCACACAGGTGAGAAACCGTACAAGTGCCCCCAGTGCGGGAAGCGCTTCAGTGACAGCTCCAACCTCATCGCCCACCAGCGTCTCCACACTGGTGAGAAGCCCTACAAGTGTGCTGATTGCAACAAGTGCTTCAGTGAGAGTTCTAAGCTGGTCATCCACCGGCGTGTCCACACAGGTGAGAAGCCATACTTGTGCCCTGACTGTGGGAAGAGATTCAGCCAGCGCTCACACCTTGTCCAGCACCATCGCACCCACACTGGGGAGAAGCCCTACAAATGTGCCGAGTGTGGGACCTGCTTCAGTGACAACTCTACCCTCATCCGTCATCGTCGTACCCACACTGGGGAGAAACCTTTCAAGTGCTCACACTGTGGAAAGAGCTTCAGTCGCAACTCCTACTTAGTCTCACACCAGCGGGTGCATGTGTGGTAGGCAGTGTCACTAGGTGTGGCCTGGGGGTGATCTAAGATGCAGCTTCTGATCCAGGCCTGTCCAAAATGTGCCTATGGGAGAAGGGAGTGGACAAGGTTGTGACTATACCAGGGACCCTGGATTATAGACAGCTGGACAGAGTAACAATTCCTTTGTCCCACGTTACCCTCTTCAGTCACCTCCTCCTCCCAGTGCACTTCAGACGTGGATAGAAAATGAGCAGTGGTTGCAGTGGG